TTCTCAGTTAATGCGATGAAATGCGAATGAACTCAAAGACGGATGGATGCAAGATGCGAAGAATTTGAATGAAAATGCGAAGTTTTTAATGTATAAATGCGAATGAACTCAAAGACGGAAGAAAGTTTTTAATCTTAAATGAAATCATAGTTTCCTAATAAATTAATTAACAAAATACTTAACCCGAAAACAAAATCGAAAACCAAAATATAACCACATAACGTGAACCCACCAAACCAATTACGAATGTCAAAGAAAGACACATGAGAATTAACAAAAAAAAAAAAAAAAAACTTTCATTCACAAATGGTATAATGCATAAATAAAGCTTATTTTTTTCATTTACATAGAAAATATTAAGAACAAAACACTCCCATGTTCTTGTACATGATACATACAAAACAAAGAAGAAACTATTATTCATATGGTACCTTCAAATATAAGAATGATACAATAGTCAAATATGTATATGATAAAATTTGAAACAAATCAATCCAAATTCACAAAATTTTGTCAGTTAAATTTTTTTTGTTGTCTGACAATAAATGAAACCAAAAACTTATGCATTGCAATTTTCAAAAACAAAACTTACAAATGGGTTTACCCCAAACAATAACAAAAACTTACATATTGCAACTTTAAAGAAAAAACTAAACATTCAACTACAAGAGCTCTAAAAACCCAACAAGAAGATCATATTCAGATCTTAAGAAGCTTACCCACGATTTCTTTGAGATGTTGGTTTATATCAATCCATTTCAAGTCCTGTAAACACACATAAACACAAAGTTAGACATACGCATAGATACAGGACGATGGTCAGCAGCACCGGAATTTTAGAAGGATGCATAGAGGAAACTAATATGTGGAAGCTATGAGGTAGCTTTTTGATAGAGAGACAGAAAGGGGAAGTGCAAAGAACGATAACAAAGGTGGTGGGTTTAGCAAGCAAAGATAGCCATGGAAGGAGAAAAAAGGTAGTGTCTCGCAACAACAATGATCTAGGAATTTTTATAAACAACTAATTGACTCTTGGTGATTTGCAAGATAAACATAGACTCATACAAACACACACAACCAAATTGAGAAACGATAAGGAAAGAAAGTAATACCTTGAACTAAACAAATTAACAAGCTCTCTAGTTGCTTATTTCTTTAAGAACATCAAACTAACTATGAAATTTTCAAATATAATAAGAACCTCTATTATCAATTGCAAAGAATACAATATAAAAAAACGATGATATAGTCATAAAGAGAGTAACAACTATCTGACATTTGTGTTAATTTTCTAGTTCTAATGCAATTTCATCTACCGGAAGGACTTAAATGAGAGAACTTGAAACCAACATTTCATGATCAGCTACAATGAGATCAAAATCTACAAAACTAACATCTGACCTGCAAATCCCACACCAATATCCGATATTCAAATGATGGAGTAAAAACCCCAAACCCAATCCCCAAGAAAAAACAAACAATATCTTACCTTCAAACACAGATTCAGATTAACCCATCTGCAATTTTTTGGGTTTAATTAAGAATCAGTTCTAAATGAAAACTAAAATCGGAAACTATTAAAGAAAACCTACATGGCTTCGAATGATCTGCCGAATCTTTGAGTAGTCCACATCGGTTTCAAGGTTGAAGCGGCGATGCATATATCCTTAGGTTTCCAACGAGTGATGGAGATATGAATGAGGTGATGGTAGTAATGAAGTAGTGAAGACGAATGTGTTGATATGTGTAGGGTTTTAGAGATAGGTCTTAATAAGGTGTAGAAGTGGTAGAGGTGCGTTGGGGATGGGTAACAGTAGATATTGGTGAACAGAGAAACGTAGGCGAAGGAGGGTAGAGGCGAAAAATTATTGGGTGGCGGTGATAGACGGAAAGAGGCAGAGTGCCTACATTGGTGGTCAGACTGTGCGTGGTTAACGTTAATTTTAGAGAAGTAGGTAGGTGGCAGAGAAGGTGAAGCATGCGTGACTGTGGGTGGAGATTATAGAGGTGACGGAGTTGTGCGGTTGTGTGGCTGGTGAATTCCAACAGCTAGGGTTTTTCCATTGAATGAAGGAGATAATGTATAAAGAGATTGAAAAGCCGGTTATGGTTGTTGACCGATTAAACTGGCTGAAAGAAGGCCAGATCGGCTTCCTTGAGATAAATAAGGATTTTAACTTGGGGATTAAATAGCTTAGTCAAAATTCATGCATAGGTGATTGTACACTAAGTTTAAAAATTTAGACGATTTCAAATTTAATATTATTTTATTAATGGTTGTTTGTAATATTAGTTTAATCGTTTGTACGTCTTAAAAAAATAATATTATTATATTCAATCTATTTATAGAAATAGTTAGATTTCTTTTATAAGTAGTAAAGATATATATATATATATATATATATATATATATATATATATATATATATATATATATATATATATATATATATATATATATATACCTTTTAAACATGATAAATATGATGTTTAATTAAACACTTTTTGTGTATATAAATATGATTTTCTCTTTGCATTTATCGCGGTAAAAAATATAATAGCAGTCACCGGCCACTATTTGAACTCGTAGTTCTCATGGTTGTATATCGTGTTTTATTATTATGTAAAATTTATATATATTAGCGTATGAATAAGTTAGTCGTTTAACCAAATCCAATTAATTAGTTAATTAGTTAATCATATTTCACAGATCATAATTAGTTAATCATATTCCATAGACATGTTACACATGTCACATTTAGTAATACTTTAACACAATCAACAAGAAAACATATTTCGCATGTTAATCACATTTCAACGCAATCACAATTAGCAAATAAAATGATCAAGCAATCTGACAGTTAATCATACTCCAATACTTCAAGTATTCAACAAAATTAGCAAAACAAAACATACATGATTTCAATGGAAGTTGTTACATACCCAAAACTTAATCATTTTTTTTCGGTTTTGGCTAAGAAAAAACAATTTTATTTAATGGAATGAAACAAAAAACATTTGTTTATTTGAAATAGCACAAAAATGAAATTTATTAAAATAACATTTATAGCACTGCTATAACGGTGACCATAATCACGACAGATAGCGGCACTAATAGCACCACCATTATTCGAAAACATTATTTGGTAAATTGTGTTCTTACACCTCCACGAAAACGCTATAACGCTGCTATAACACCGCTATAACGTGCAATTAACTGCAATCTTTCTCCATGAATACACAATGAAGAAAAAACATACTTGTAGTCAAAATATTAAAATTTTGAAATTTAAAAGGTTTTGTTATGAAGTTTATTTCAAGGTAACTTAGAAACCTTATATGTAACGATAGTGAAGATAGAAAAAAAAAAAAAAAAACTTAGGCAACACTAGTTTTTATACTTCAAAAATGTTGTTAGGATAAAACTTTGTTTATTTTTTAAAAAAAAAACTTAGAAGTTGTTGTATTATTTCATAACTTTAATGATCATATGTCTAAAAGTCCTTTATTTTGTTAGTATTTTTTGTAATAAATAAAATTGAATGATGTTTTTTTTTACACCGCTATAACGTGTAATTAACTGCAATCTTTCTCCATGAATACACAATGAAGAAAAAACATACTTGTAGTCAAAATATTAAATTTTTGAAATTTAAAGGGTTTTGTTATGAAGTTTATTTCAAGGTAACTTAGAAACCTTATATGTAACGATAGTGAAGATAGAAAAAAAAAAAAAAAAAAAAACTTAGGCAACACTAGTTTTTATACTTCAAAAATGTTAGGATAAAACTTTGTTTATTTTTTTTTGAAAAACTTAAAAGTTGCTGTATTATTTCATAACTTTAATGATCATACGTCTAAAAGTCCTTTATTTTGTTAGTATTTTTTGTAATAAATAAAATTGAATGATGTTTTTTTTGTACGATTACAGAACTTTGTTACTTGTAAGTATTTTTTCTGTAATAAAATTTGTCAATTAGCTATTCACATGTTATTAAAAGATATATTTTTTTTGAACAAATAATAACTTTAATAATGATATATGTATAAATAATAGAGAAAATGATAAAAATAGCTAATTATACTAATTACATTACAAAAATAGCAAAAAAAAATTGAAATTGCAAAAATAGCTCTTAATTTCGCAGATGGAGTTGCCCCATCTGCGAAATGACCATTCCATCTGCGAATGTACAAGCTGCTAAAGCATAGTTGTGCTTTAGCAGCTTGTACATTCGCATGTGTTTTTTTTTCCTGTATATATATTGAAAATGCAGGGTAAAATCGCAGATGGAATAGCCCCATCTGCGATTTCCTCTCATTCCATCTGTGAAATTGTATTTTTTTTAGTTTGACTATGAAATCAATTGGTTTGACTACGAAATCATGTTGCTATATAAAAAGTTTTGTAGACATGCACGTAAGGTGCCAATACTTATGTTGATCGATTTTTTTCGTGCTACAATGCAACAATGGTGGTTTTAAAGACGTAACTTTGCAGGTATTAATTTCATAGTAAAAAAAAAATCACAATTTCGCAGATGGAATGAGAGTAAATCGCAGATGGGGCTATTCCATCTATGATTTTACTCTACATTTTCAATATATATACAGAAAAAAAACCACCTGCGAATGTACAAGCTGCTAAAGCACAGTTGTGCTTTAGCGGCTTGTACATTCGCAGATGGAATTGTCACTTCGCAGATGGGGCAATTCCATCTGCGAAATTGAGGGCTATTTTTGCAATTTCGATTTTTTTGACTATTTTTGTAATGTAATTAGTATAATTAGCTATTTTTGTCATTTTCTCTAAATAATATAATTTATTAATAGTTTTTTGCTCTAGAAAAAATTAAATAGTGTTTTTTATTGTATGATTTGGAAACTTTAGTACAAGTAATTTTCCCTTAACTGTACTTTTTCCTCCTATCTCTCTCTCACTTCGAAACTCTCTCGATACACAGACACACAGAAAACCTTACTTGTCTGAGACACCGGAAATGGTTGACGATGACTGGCCGGAGTGGCTTCCATCGGACTGGACGATACAAATCAGAAAGATCGATGGACGGAAGGTCAAGGTACTTGCGATTCTCACTCTTCCATCTCAACTTCCTCCAACTTAGGGTTTTTTTTTTTTTTTCTCGCTTCAGTTTCTACAGAATTTGAGTTTTTTGTCTACATTTTTGGTTTAATTTTGAACATGTAGCTAAGAACATACCTGCACGCGAATTGTGTTGAGTTAATTTTGCGTTGCTCGGAGGTCCATCATTTTTTTTTTCAACCTTATGTTCCTCTCTCCTTTACGATTAAGAGACACAGTTTGATTTCTCTATGTGAAAAAAAAAAATTGACATCAATGTTTGCTTCATGAGAGGGTTTTTGATAATTGATACACCCCCAGAGTTAGAGTTATTTGTGTGATAATTTCATGCCTGATTGATGTTGCAGTGTTACATTGATCCTGAAGGACACAAGTTCTATTCGAAGCCACAAGTGGAACAGCATCTTAACGCCATCAGAAACAGCATAGTAGTGACTGTAATGATACCTTCTGTTGATATTTTTCCCTTTAACTCCTAGCATTCTTACAGAGTCCTGTTTTCTTTTAGAACAATGCCCATACAAATGAGGATCCTGAATCAACAAAAAAAAGTCTTTACATAATGCCTGGTGATACAGGAAACTGAAGGGCTTTTAGCTTCTAAGCCTAAATGTGGAAGAAGAAGAAAAAGCGAAGATTCTAATTGGCTACCTGATGGATGGAATGTGGAAGTGAAGTATAGAAGTTGTGGAAAAGAATATAAGGTAAATGGATTAGCTTTGAGTATCATAACATAACATTGCCTACCATTTTTATATTCTATAATATCTCTATCCATTTCCTGATCACATTTCTTGTTTTGCTATTGTTGTAGGTTTTCATGGATCCCATCAATGGACATAAATTCTTCATAAAGCAACAGATTCTGAAATATCTTGCTAATAAGGCCAATAGAAACAGCAGTCCAGCTGAACAGAAATATCAGCCACTAGTATCAACTTTCATATTCTTCTTTTTGTCATTTATAAATTCAATTCTTGAAATTACAGCATCATAATCTTCTGTTACATTATGACTTTTTATAGGGAGATAAAACCCATATTAAACTTGAGGAGTCCCAGATTACTGAACCCACTGAAGCCAATAAGACGAATGAAACCAAAGCGAGTTCAGCACTTACAGAAAGCACCCGCAAGTCCCCTGACTATGAAGTTTGTTCCACTTTAACCCTCCAAGATTTTATATATTACATTTCTCAAATTTATATCACCCATTTGACTTTTTGACCGATATCTAGGTTATCTCAACAACTCCTGCAGATGGGTTGCCTCCAGGATGGATAAAAGAAATCAGAGTCACACAACATGGATCTGAGAAGGAAAAAAATCCGGTATTTTATTTTTTCTTATCTAAAAACTCATCATAACATATAAACCATAATACATAGTTTTATAATTAATTAACTAATTAATTAATTAATTCTCAATGAAGTTCTACACAGACCCTTTGAGTGGCTACATATTTTTCTCAAAATTGGATGCTTTATGCTATTTGGATACCGGAGGAGACATAAAGATATGTGCCATGAGACCATTGAGAAGGGATATGAGTCGAGAAATCAATGTAAGTTATGTACTTAAAGTTCAATTGATGATAGTTATTTATTTGTTTAAAATTTAAATATCAATGTACTTACAATTCTTTATGCAAAATAGAGTTTGAAACGAAGCAAGACATATGACTCAAACGATCATAGGACATCATCAAATTGCTATGAGGACATGGTTGAAGAGTAAAGCAAAAAAAGCGGCTTCATTGTCAAAAAATTTAGGTCCACAAGATGAAAAGATTGAAGAATTAGTTGATAATATAAAGAAGTTTAATTCTACTTATGATGAACACTTGCAGTTTGAGAAAGAAAAGTTTCGGTCAAGGTTACAAGAACGTGAGAAAGAACGGGATTTGAAAATATTAACCACCAACACTGAGCATTTAACGGAAGGGGCTCGTGACACGATTCTGGCGATGCAAGTGGAGATAGAGAAAAAGTATCGTGATGGTGGGATGTAAGTTTATGTTGGTTTTAGTTGAGTTTATGGTTTTTAGTCTAATGAAAAAACTTATGTGTTATTAGTGTTTTATTTGCATTTGTTTTCTTTAGTCTAAGTGTTTTTTTTGGAATATTAAATATTATTTGAATTGAGAAATAATAAAATTTGGTGAAAAGTTAGACCATAATTGAAAGGTGGGTATTTTCTTGAAACAAAATGCTCAAAATCCAAAAACTACTTCACATAGCGTTTAATAAAACGCTACCTGCTACCAGCTAGTTTTGCCGAACATGTTCATCTATTGTTTTCCCAAATGAAAGAGGAAGTGATGGGAAATGAGTGGAAATAGCATGAGGCTAAGGTAACTGGAAAAAAGTAATTTGCAGTGAAACTGCTCTTAGTTTGATGGAGTAGAGAGAAGATGAAAACCAAGGGTTTGGCGGCAACAACGAAGAAGGGTATGTGGTGAGCATATGTCTTCATAAAGACTACAAAACGACATTGGTTTCGTCGTCCAATTAATGGCTAGAAGGGTTAAAAGTGGATTATCTAGGAAAGAAAAACGGACCATCTACTATCCAAGACCCAACTCATGGAGTATACATTCCACCATCCAAACACCAAATGTTATCCATGGATTCACCTTAATGTATCTCTTATTTCTTATCTTCAAAGATTATAAACGTTATCTCATTTAAAAGTAGACAAGTGGTTTGGGGTTCTAAGTAGGAGGCCAAGGGGAGCTAAGGAAGATGAGCAATGGGCTAATTTTGATTAGAAAGATAGATTAGATTGGATGAGAGAGAGAGAGAGAGAGAGAGAGAGAGAGAGAGAGAGAGAGAGAGAGAGAGAGAGAGAGAGAGAGAGAGAGAGAGAGAGAGAGAGAGAGATTTATGACCGTTGAAATATAATCACCATTGTGGTTTTGGCCTAAACCATTGAATACAGAGATTATAAAATTGTCAAGATCCGCTTTTTGAGTTGATTCATGTTTAAAAATACTCTTGATTGGACTTTGTTATCACCACACTCAATTCATACTCTCAATTGGTATACCACGTACTTTCTTCCAAACTCAGAGTCAAAGACTTATACCTTTAAACCTAACTTTTCCAAACTCTAAAGTTATTCATAATTTTGTAGATTTCCTTTCACTCGTATTTTACTTTGACAATACTCTTCCCCTTTTATAATGTAAGTCAATTGGTAGGGCGTTTTACATTAAATGATTTTGCATCCCAAACCAAGTACATAATATTTGATATCCTAACTAAAGTACAACATATGTATTAAAAAATATAATTGCTTAAAAACCCATGTTTCAATTATATTTGTGGTTCTTATAAGTTATGGAAAGTAAAATGCGAAAATAAAAAGAATTAGGATATTTGGTGTGTGTGTAATGGTATGTAAGTTCTAAAAATTAAACATTTTAATGAAGATGTGAGTTATTAGATAATTCAAATAATATTTAAGACATATATTTCGGATGATTTATACATGTTTTTTGTATTTAGACATGCAATATATGTGCCCATTACTTAATTTTCGTGAAATAACGTTTTCAAGCAATATTCTCATTTGTGTTTTTTATTCATTCATTTAAAATAAAAACGATTGATTTTATATCTTTATCATGATTTTTTATTTTTAGTTAAAACAAAGAGTATAAAAATCAAACATCTTTATTTTAAGTGGATGAATAATAATAAACACAAATGAAAATATCATATTTTATTTTAAATTGTTGTTTTAAACATACGTTTCTTTTTTGCCCCCTCACAACTTTATGTGTATGTATGGATAAATGTATGTATATGTATTTTAAAACAAATCAATAGTCATAAACTGTTTTCTCAAAAGACCTAGAACATGCAATATGAATTGTAGATGAATTTAAAAGACATGTCTTAGAAAATAGTTAAAGGATTTTTTAAAATTCACGTAATAATAATTTTCGGTTATAATAAAATATAACTTATTATATCTCTCTACATATTTATATATTTATTAATTTTAATTAATAAGAAAGGTTATAAAACAGAATGGAAATATGGAAATAAGTACCTGATCGAACGTGCAAATCCTTCGAACTTCTTCGGGTCTGTGGGGTTTATTTCAGTCAAAGTCCTTCTCCTCATATGCTCAAACACACACACATAACACCTTCAACTGTGTGTGGGAGCGAGCTCTGTGATTTGATCCTAAAGATCTGAATTCGTTCACTTCGATTTCTCAAGGTATGTTTACGCGACTTGATTGGTGAAAAACTGTCCGAACTTATGAAAAGTTTAGATATAAATTGACGATTTTAGATCTGAAATTAGTTGAGAAATTGCGGAGTTTGTCGCGATCTAATCCTGTTGCTAAAATTCAGACTATTGATGACATTATGTGCTAATTGCTTTCAATTTTGAGTTCTTATATACTGTTCCCGATCTGATTAATTTATGGATCTGCATTTTGATTTTGACTATTTGAATTGTTTTGATGTTTTTCTGTTGATAACTGTACAAATAATCAAGTTATAACGGATCGAATACGTGAAATTTTGAATATTCCTCGTGAATTTAGGGAGAGTGGTGTGAAGATTGGTATCGAGTTGAGTAGTTGAGTTGTGATGTAGATCGCGTTTAATCATGATGGTGAGATTCTCGCAGGAGTTATCTGTACGCATTATCAACCTAGGGATTTGTGTACATCAATTTTATGGAAGTTAATCGGATGCAAAAGTTGACGTGTAGAGTTTGACTACTTTGGCAGTTTCTACATCTGGTGGCACAAACATTCATGTTCTCGATCTGATTTAATTTATGGATCCCGTTTTGATTTTGAATGATTCACGTTACTCTAGTAATATAGTGTTGCTAATTAATTAAGTTCAGAGGATCAAATCTATGAATTCTAAGTGTTCACATGATCATTCAAGGAGGGTTAGTAGCAAATTGAGGAGTTAGAGTTGTGATCTACAGTGTAATGACAGTGGTGAGGTTCTTGCAACTTCCAAAAGTAAACCTTGAACAATATCAAATCTGTGAATTATGTTTTGCAACTTTTGTACCTAAACATGTTATCTTTAGATAATTAGATCCATGAACTTATTTCCTATCCATGATCCAAAAGTTAAAAACCCCTCTGCAACCCCATTAACATTCCTAGATTTTGAATAACAAATTTCGAATTTCTAAAATCCTTTTTTCTGTGTTACTGCATTAGTTTTCCCTTGATACCTTTCTTTGAAATATCTCAAAGAATGCTTGCTATTATTCTATATAACTTATTCTTAACTGTTGCATCTATTTCATAAAAACAACAGTGACAAAACAGAAGATCTTCCTTGGGTAATGTGGAATTGCAGAAATCTACTTTTCGCATACAAGGGGTAAAACCATAGAAGTAAAACTTCTTCTGTTGAAAAATCTCTACCTATAATCGAAAAAAATGACTCCATCAAGTAAAGCTGATAAAAAGGCAGCAGTTGATATTGCTGCATGGACATTCAACATAGTCACTTCTGTTGGCATCATCATCGTGAACAAAGCCTTAATGGCAACATATGGTTTCACATTTGGTAAGTTCTCTATTTAAATAGTATTTTCTTTTGTTAATTTTATTTATAAATATCTTATTTCCTGATATCCAATAATTTCTTTTATCCACAGCAACAACCTTAACAGGATTGCATTTTGTCACCACAACCTTGATGACTATTGTTCTTAGGTGGTTGGGTTACATCCAACCCTCTCATCTACCCATTGCAGATCTTCTCAAATTCGTCCTTTTTGCTAACTTCTCCATTGTTGGAATGAATGTCAGTCTTATGTGGAACTCTGTGGGATTCTACCAGGTAAGCTATATACTTATTACTTTATACTCTTTTTTTCAAAAAGAACCAAGTGAAAGGTGTTTCCTTTATGATATTTATGTTAAAGCTATTGATTTTCAGATAGCAAAACTGAGTATGATTCCTGTATCCTGTTTATTGGAAGTTGCATTTGATAAGATACGATATTCAAGGGACACAAAGCTCAGTATTTTAATTGTTCTTCTGGGTGTTGCTGTATGCACTGTTACTGATGTCAGTGTTAATACTAAAGGTTTTGTTGCTGCCTTTGTTGCAGTATGGAGTACAGCTCTTCAACAATATGTATGTAAATGTAACTCTTTTTTTTTTTTTTTTTTTTCCCCAAATTATATTCTAATATTTATATATATATATATATATTTTACAGTATGTGCATTACCTTCAAAGAAAGTACCAGTTGAGTTCTTTCAATCTGTTAGGACATACTGCCCCAATCCAGGCTGGATCCCTACTGTTAGTGGGCCCCTTTGTTGACTACTGGTTGACCAACAAAAGAGTGGACGCTTTTAAGTATAATACAGTATCTCTGGTAAGTTTTATTAGTACACTAGAATTGGGCTCTTTTAGTTGTTTTTAAAAATTAGTCTGATAATATTATTATGATATGGTATTTGCAGATATTTTTAATTCTATCGTGTACGATTGCAATTGGGACAAATCTAAGTCAATTTATCTGCATCGGGAGGTTTACAGCCGTCACATTCCAAGTCCTAGGTCACATGAAAACAATCCTGGTACTGATGTTGGGTTTTATTTTCTTTGGGCGTGAGGGTTTAAACCTTCACGTGGTGATTGGAATGATAATAGCAATCATGGGAATGATTTGGTATGGGAACGCGTCATCAAAGCCAGGTGGCAAAGAGAGGCGTAGCTATTCCCTTCCGAAAACAAGTCAGCCTAAAAAGGACTCCCTTCTAGAAACTTCCGAGACGGATGAGAAGGTGTAAGGGTTTTTCAGGAGTATCATATAGAAAGGAAAGGAAAGGAAAGGAAAGGAAAGGAATATTTTAAATTTTTTTTTTTAATTGTTAAATCAAGTGATGGAGACTATACGAAGGAAGAAGGTTATGTTGCTAGAAAATTTGTCGGTTAATCGGTTGTTATTGTTAAGTTATTATTATATACGATATGATTTTTGTATGTCATTTTTAAATGTTATGATTTGGAGGACTTGAAGAGGGAGGAGGATTTGTCTTTTTTTTTTTTTTTTTTTTGGAAAACCTGTGATTAGTCTTGATATAGAAATCAATAAGTGTGTGTTGGAGTATTTATTATCGATTTATGTAGTCATGTTTCAGTTTATTATGAAATCTATCAATTTATATATGTGAAAATTGGTAACAAAATGGAAAACTGGTTGTATGAATTGGTAACGAATGGAAAACTGGGTAAATAAGCAACTATTATACCTTTTTAAAATAAATAATCCAAATGAAACTTTTAGCCTCACAATGTATGAAATACTTAATTGATATTCAATGGATTTAATTCAACCGTAATGACAAGTTGACATTCAATGAATTTGGAGTTAAATGATAAGTGGACATTAAGTTAAATGATAAGTGGTCTGAATGTGAGAAAAAAACAAACTTTTTCTTGTAAAAGTATGTCACTTACCTTTGTAAAGTTTAAAAGTATGTTTCTGGAAATAAAATGATAAAATTGTATAGAAAATGAGAGTATGTTTGTGGAAAACAAAATGATACAATTGTATGAAAAATGAAATGTTGATGTAATCTATTAAAAATTCAATATGTTGTGAATACCTTTAATACTCATGGATGAAATGATTATGGGTGTTCGATATTCACTTTAGAGTGAAAAACCCGAAAATTCAAACCAAATCAAATGAGCTAAACTTGGCTTGCAAATAGCACACAAACAACTTTTCGCTTAAACTCTTAGGTCGAGCTACCTCATTTTTCATGAGATGATATAAAAGTTGTACATAATATTATAAATATTTCTTTTGAATTTCTTTTGATGTTATAATATTATGTTCAAATGTAATGCTATGCTTAGCCTTCACACCATCTACATAAGACTATGTCCCTAGAAAGAGTAAATTTATCCATATGTAACCTCATACCATAAAAAAGAGTAAGCTTATAAATGTGTAACCTCATACTATCATCTTGCTTTCTTTGGGGCATCCTTTTCTACTTTTTACCATCAATCATCATTGAATCTACCTCCTTACCATCGCTTAAGGTTTCCTCCTTAGGATATGTTCATACCACCTCAATCGTTTTTCTCTTAATTTATCAGTGATCCATGCTATTCCTAATGAATTTCTAATAGCCGCATTTAGTATCCTATCAAATAATATTTCACCGCAAGTCCGCCTCATCCATACATCATGGTAATCCTAACAACTACCATGTAAAATTTATCCTTGAGTTTCAACGGGGACCTTCCTGACACCTAAGACTCATAAGACCACCCTCCACTTTAACCAAACCCCCTTTATGCGATGGCTAACGTCTTTCACAACCATTCTTTTATGGATCATAGACCACATATGTCACAACTGGAAATTTTGTGTCATGTAACCCATACATTCAAACTAATGTGAATAAAAAACTTCAATCAAATACATTATACAAGTACTACAAATAGTCACCAAACAATTGGAAACCCTAGAAGTCCTTGTTTAAGTCCACTTTGGACTAGGACTCTCTTATTGGATCCAAATGGACCAATAAGCTTCCAATTAGATTATCATGAGCTTAGAACCTTAATTGGGCTCTAATTGGACCCACATTCATTTATTTCAATATTTTGGGCTAGGTAGAACCTAGAATGAAATAAATCACAAGCTTTGATCCATAATTTAACCTAACCTAGCTTAATAAAGCATAAAAATCACAATTTTATTTTATAAGGCCAATAAGCACCCCAAACTACCTCTAATGTTGGGCTTAGGGGCAACAAGCCCAAAAATCCTTTCTTCTCTCCCCATTCTCAGCCCAAGCCGAAGGAAAAAGGGAGAGTTGACCTTGGGTTGCCACCTCATTTTTACCCATAGGTTCTCCATGCAAAATCTCATTCATCCATGCAAGCATCACCTCAAGGTCTTTTCTTCTCTCTCTCTCTCTCCCTCTCCCTTCTTGTTTCGGCCGAGGATAACCAACACACACACACCTCACAAATTCTCTCTAAATTCTCTCAAGAAACTCTCTCCTTCCTCTCCAAAAATTTCGAGAATTCTAAGGGGATTTCAAGGGGGATTTTGCAAGATTAACATCATCTTAGGTAAGTTTCTACTTAATTCTATGATCTAGCTTCCTTGATCTATCAAATACCTCTCCTTAATTCATGAGAAATCATGATCTTGCATCTTAGAAACACTTCAAGGCCGAGATCTTCATCAAGGGGTGTTAAGGCCGAAAATCACCAAACTTTCTTCTATTCTTTCTTCAAAAACCGAATCAACGCCCAAGGTGAGTTTCATATCCCCTTATTTTCGATTTTTATGAGTTTTTGTGGGGGAGAATACAAGAAAATGTGAAGATCCATCATTATGTGTATGTTGTGGTTGATTTCTATGCTTACATGTATGTTTTGTATGATTTTATTGATAGATCTAGGGTGATATGCTAAAAACCGAGACATATATTTATCATAGCACAAAATAGACTATCACATGCAAAGTATACTAAGAAAATGGCTAAATAGCTTAACACCACTTAACTTGGGCTAAAAACTCATTTTTTTGACAAGAAATGTTGAAAATACAAAGTTGAAGGGCCTAATATGAAACATTTCGAAATCTGATGGGTGAGATGAACCAAAACAGTTTACATAATGTATTTTTCTGAAAATATACTATTTAGAGGTTAAAACATAAATTCCAAGCTTATTGGGCTAAATATGACATTTTCGGCCCAATAAGGCCCAATATGCGAAATTTTCTAAATTGGAGGACCAAAACTGCATTTTTCTGTAAAACAGTGGGCTATAAGTGTTCCATATGCTTTTCAAAGGTTTAAAATGCTTTCCAAATTTAAAAGGGACCAAAATTGTAAAATTTTTCCAAATTGGGTCAAAAATGTAAAAGTTTGCGAAAAATAGGGGCTATAACCGAGAAACTGAAGTTTCAAGGGCTTAAACTGTTTTCTATGATAAGTTTGCTGGAAAAATACTTATGTCAATAATTTTTGGTATAAAAATGTCAAGAAAATTGATTTAAGGACCAAACCGGAAAGTTTTTAAATAAAGGGGTAAAAAGAGTAAATTCTTCAATTAAGGAGGGACTGAAAACAGAAAATCTTCAAGGCTAGTTAATATATGCAATTTGACCAATTTATGGTAACACGCTTGTTGACGAAATACAAGATTCTACAATACCAAAAGTCGTTGTCAAACGAATTGGTTCGGTCTCGAACCAATAAAAATCCAAAATCACTAACACGACGAAGCTACGACATTTCGATTCATAACCATAACGATTACAATTACATGCGAGTGTGCACAGACGTCTACGCACCATCTTTGGGCCCCAAAAGTGTAAAATCTTGTCTGTTGAGCCTAGCTAGCCCAACGACCTGATCTTAAGGCCCGAAGGTCTCTCTCTCTTACGAAGTGTTGGGTTTTACCGACTCGACATAACGTAAAAGGACTTTCAATGGCAAACATGCTGCTGGTCCCCAAGGGTCCTTCAGTGCTGCTAGTAAAGTCTGTAACTCACGATTGCGAGTTGGGCTTCGGGCCCTTCGCAATTGCATTTGGTCTCGGACGACGCGGGGAAACCCCGAAGGTTTCGTACCTTCTCCCTTCCCTCCGGTCGTGGGACTTTACAAGTCCGGGAGGATCGAGTCGCGTGAAGATTTACAAGTGACGCCTAAAAGGATCACTTGTAAGGTTGTTGACTTGACGTTTTCACTAACGCATGTCCTAACACTTCACCACTCTCGGTATTCTCGATGCCTCCGGAATACAACGATACAACGATAGGAAAACGTCGGGTTTTCCTAGGATTTCAATAACGATTACGAATTTCCAGTTGAATTTCACAACTCTTACGCTTACATCTATAGAATTCAAACAAGCATACTCATGGATCATTACCTATTTTTATTACACCATTCCATTTCTAGAAAATATCGGATTTTCTAAAGGTTTTCAAACAACACACTGGGTTTCAAACTCTACTTATGAACTCACCAACATTTCATATGTTGACGTTTTTCAAAATACTTGTATTCTCAGGTAACAGATAAAGTGAAGATGATTTGTACTCGCTGACGTTTTGCTGTGAATTAAGTAGTACCAAACAGTTATTTCTTTGAATGTAATTTTTGGAACAATGTAATGAATGTAAACGTTACCAGTTGTATCATTTCCAAATGTTGGTGATGTATAATGTTATGTTTCATGTGTATGCATTGTTATGGTATTCAATGAGTCACGATAGCCCCCGGACGTTTCCGCCGTCTGGTTCGGGGGTGTGACAGATGTGTTGCACTGCACTATTTCTATGTGATTTATGCCGGATGTATATCAGGGTTAGAACCGGAAGGTTCACAGAGTTAGGACTAGAAGGTCCATAGAGTTAAGGCCCAAGGCCCCTCAGAGTTATAGCCTCAAGTGGCTAGTATGTGCTATGTGTGGTATTTTGGGGAACTCACTAAGCCTCATGCTTACAATATTTTGTGTTATGTGTTTCAGGTACTAATGAGGATCGCCGGAAGGCACCGGCATGATCAGTACACACACGCGGAGTTTTATTTATATGATATGATATTGGGATTTTTGACTTATGTTTGAATATATGAAACAATGTGTCTTATAATATTGTAAATTAAATGGTTTTAAAAATGTGAAAATTTGGTTGAAATTTTACGGTGTTACAAATAAAGAAAAAGAAATCAACATCTATAAGGGCAACTCATTGAGTCCAAGAGGGAGAGCTCGACGTGTTGGAAATCTTTGCCTCTTGTTTTTGATAATGAAGTCAATGAGTTAGAGAGGTACAACTTGAAGAGTTGGATGGGGTTTGGGAAACCCTAGATCCATGATTTTACACCCTATTTAAACACCTTATGCTTTAGGGTTTGGCCTCCCTTCCATCCTCCACTGTCCTAACCCTAGATCTCAAAACCCTAATGCTATTGTGAGTGATTCTGAGCCATTTTGTAGAGTTATTGTGGGTGTTTGAAGTCTTGGAAGGAAGAAAAATTTGAAGGAACAAGGAAGAGTTGCTAGGTCCATAAACCACACTCCATTTTCATCACTTT